AGCGGAGAAGGAACAAAGAAATCTGTAACTGGTTGTGATCAATTAGTTGTAAACACCACTGCACTCGGACCAGCCTAATATTCAGATCTTTGATCGATTTAGATTTTAGTTTAGTATATGGTGATAGGCATGGGTCTAGTTTTAGTTTTTGTTTTCTAGCACCGTTTATTAAAGACATTGTTTGTCATTCTTCCAGTGAACATGTTTGGCCCCTTTATCATAGATAAAGTGGTTGAGTGTGTTGGTAGTTGTGGTTGTATCTTGTAATCTATTCCATTGATTTTCAGATCTGTTTTTATTCCAGTACCATGTTGATTTGATTACAGTAGCTTTGTAGTATAACTTCAAGTCAGGGATGGTGATGCTTCCTGCTTTGTCTTTGCTGCTTAGAATTGCCTTTGCTATTCTAGGTCTCTTCTGGTTCCAGAAGAATTTTAGGAGTGATTTCTCTAGATTTTTGAGGTATGTTGATGGTGTTTTTATTGGGATTGCATTGAATCTGTATAACAGTTTTGGGAGAATGACCATTTTTACAATATTTATTCTTCCTATCCACGAACAAGGGATGTCTTTCCATTTTCTGAAATCTTCTTCAATTTCTTTGAGGATATTATAATTTTCCTTGTATAGATCTTTTACTTCTTTTATGAGATTAATTCCTAAGTATTTCATTTTTTTGGATGCTAGTGCGAAGGGTGTGGCTTCTCTTATTTCTCTCTGACTGATTTTGTTGTTAATGTATAGAAATGCTATTGATTTTTGAGTATTGATTTTGTATCCAACTACGTTGCTGAATTTATTTATTATATCTAGGAGTCTTTCAATGGAGTTTTGGGGTTCTTCTATGTAGAGTATCGTGTCATCTGCAAATAATGATAATTTAACTTCTTTTCCTCTCTTTACCCCTTTTATTTCTCTCTCTTGTCTAATTGCTCTGGCTAATATTTCCAATACTATGTTGAATAGGAGCAGTGTTAAGGGACATCCTTGTCTTGTGCCTGATTTTAAGATAAAGGCCTTCAGTTTTTGGCCATATAATACGATGCTGGCTGTTGGTTTGTCACAGATGGCCTTTATCATATTGATGTAACAACCATTTATTTCAGTTTTCTGTAAGGTTCTTATCATGAATGAGTGTTGGACCTTATCAAAAGCTTTTTCTGTGTCTATAGAAATGATCATGGGATTCTTACTTTTGGCTTTATTCATATAGTGGATTACATTTATTGATTTACGTATGTTGAACCATATGTAAATGGTTGAATCCCACTTGGTCATGGTGTATAATCTTCTTGATGATTTGCTGCATCCTGTTGGCCAATATTTTATTGAGAATTTTCGCATCTGTGTTCATTAAGGAGATTAGCCTGTAGTTCTCTTTTTTAGGTGCGTCTTTCTCAGGTTTTAGTACTAGAGCAATATTTGCTTCCAGGAATGACTTAGGAAGGATTAATTCCTTTTCGATTTCATTGAAGAGTTTGAGGCTTCTTGACATTAAGTCCTCTTTGTATTTCTTGTAGAATTCCGCAGTGAATATGTCTGGGCCTGGGCTCTTCTTTGTAGGTAAGGACTTAATTACATTTTCAATTTATTAATAGAAATTGGGTTATTCATCAGTTTTACATCCTCTTGACCCAGCTTTGGTACTTCATATGTTTTTAGGAACCTGTCCATTTCTTCTGTGTTATTGAACCTATGAGAGTAGAGGTTTTAAAATAGGTGTTGATGATATTCTGTATTTTCACAGAGTCTGTAGTGATTTCTCCTTTTTCATTCCTTATTGCATGAATTTGAGCTTTTTCTTCCCTTTTTAAAATAAGTTTGGCCTGGGGCTTGTCAATTTTATTTATTCTTTCCAAGAACCAACTCTTTGATTCATTGATTCTTTGCATTGTTTTTTTCTTTGTCTCTATTGCATTAATTTCTGCTCTGATTTGTATAATTTCCTCCCTTCTTTTTGCTTTGGGCTTGACTTGCTCTTCTTTTTCTAGATGTTTGAGGTGTAACATCAGGTTGTTTATTTGTAAATCAGGTTGTTTTCTTGCTGTGGGAACTCAGTGCAATAAATTTTTCTCTGAGGACTGCTTTTATTGCATCCCACAGATTCTGGTAAGTTGCATTTGTATTTTTGTTTTCTTGTAGGTATTGTTTAATTTCTTTAATTTCCCCTGTGACCCACTGACTGCTCAAGTGTATTCAGTTTCCATGTGTTTGTGGGGTTTTTGCTATTCCTTTTATCATTAACTTCTAGTTTCATGGCACTATGATCTGATAACATGCATAATTTGAATTCTTTTCATTAATGTAAATATGTTCTGTGGGCTAGTATCTCTATTTTAGAGAATGTGCTATGTGCTGCTGATAAGAATGTATATTCTGATGTTGTTGGATGGAACACTCTTTTTATGTATATCAAGTCCATTTATTCACAGGTGTGATTCAGTTCTGTTATTTCTTTTCTGATTTTCTATCTGGTTGATCTGTCCCTTGGTGTCAATGGTGTGTTAAGGTCTCCTGTTATAATTGTGTTATTGCTAATTTGATTTTTCATTTCTATTAAAACTTGCTTTGTATAACTGGGTGCTCTAGAATTTGGTGCATATATATTTAAGATAGTTATCTCTTCCTCTTGAAAATTTCCCCTAACCAGTATGTAGTGACCTTCTTTATCTCTTCGGATCATTCTGGGTTTGAAGTTCATGTTGTCTGCAAACAGAATTGCTACCCCAGCTTTTTTTTTGCAGTTCCTGTTGCATGAAACATTGTTTTCCATTCTTTGACTTTCAGTCTGTGAGTTTCCTTTTGGGTTAGATGGGTTTCTTATAGACAGCATATGGTTGGATGTTGTTTCTTGATCCATTTTTCCAGTGTGTTTCTTTTAATTGGTTAACTGAGACCATTTACATTAATGGTTATAACTATTATATATTGGTTTACATGTTATCTTTCTGCTGTTGCATCTTTATCTTTCCATTGTGTTTGTCTGCCTTTCTTATTGGTTTTTTCTTGTGTGTATCTAGACTTTCAGTATTCTTTGTATTTGCTTGGTCATCATGAAGTTCTTCAGCTGTTCTTTGTCATGGAAGTATCTTATTTCTTCATTCATTTTGAAGGACAGTTTTTCAGGGTACATCAGTCTAGGTTGAAAATTATTTTCCCTTAGGATCTGAAATACTTCACTCCATGCTCTTCTTGACTTCATTGTTTGTTTTGAGCAGTCTGCTCTGATTCTGATAGGTTTTCCTTTGTAGGCGATCTGTCTAACAGCTTTTAAGATACTATTCTTATGTTGGATTTCTGGGCTGGTGATTACTATATGTCTGGGTGTAGTTTTAGTTTGGTTATGGCTATTTGGAGTTCTACATGCTTCACTAATCCTAATGTCAGTTTCCATTCTCATGTTTGGGAATTTTTCAGCTATTAGTTCTGTAAATAGCCTCTTGATATCATTTGTGTTTTCCCCATCTTTTTCATTTATCCCTATTAATCTTATGTTGTTTTTCTTTGCATCATTTTTGCAGCTGTTGAATTATTTCCTGATTCCTTGTTATTTTTAAAAGATCTTTCTTTCCTGTTTACTACTGCAATCTTGTCTTTGAGGTCTGAAATTCTAACTTCACTTTTGTTGAGTTGCTTTTGACAACTTTCAATTGAATTTTTGATTTCTTGTATATCTCTTTGAATGTGTTTCATGTATTTTTTTTTATATTGTTCATCCAGGGATTCTATCTTTTTGCATTGTTCCTCTAATTATTTAACTGTGATGTGTTCCTTAGATGTGTTCAGCATCTTTTTCATTACTTTTATCATTTCTTCTTTTACATGGGAGGTTATTCCTATTTTGAATTCCTTTAAAGCTTCCTGGAGTTGCTTCTTTATTTCAGTTGCTATTATTTCAGGTATTTCAGGTGTATGGCATATATTTTCTTCCATGTACATGGCTCCTAGGCTTTCTTGGGAATGGGCTAGAGGTTGGAGATTGCATTTTGGTCTTTCATTTTGTCATTTTTCTGTATTTCTGTGTTTCAAGTGTTGTTCCAAGCCTTCCCCTGGGCATGTTGGAAATCATCTCCTATTCCCTTGGCTCCTGGGACTGAATGGAGGTTGCTGAGCGTGGTCTAGTCAGGCCCTCAGGCCCTCCCGTGCCACCTCCAGTGTTCTATGAAGCTGGGCGGGCACCTAACCACTGTGGATAATGGTCGAAAGCTCTCCCTGGGCAAGTACCAATGCCCTGGAACTTACTTCACATGCTCTCAACTCCCCTGACTAAAGAAGGTCATTGGGTGTAATGTAGTTTGGCTGCAAAACCTCCTAAGGCTAGTCTAGTGTGGCTGGAAGCTGGGCCAGTCCTTGATGACTGGGAGCTATGATCTTAAACTCTCCCAGGGCTCAAGATGTTGTACAGGAATCACCCCAGCAGGCAGCTGAGTTTCCTGGATTGAAAGGTCACTGGGTGTGGCCCAGGCAGGCCTGAAACCTGCCTAGCTGAGCCTAGTGTGGCTGGAAGCTAGGTGCATCCTTGACCTCTGGGAAGGATGATGTTAAACTCTCCTGGTGCTCGAGATGGTGTGCAGGACTCACCCCAGCTGGCAGCTGAGTTCACTTTATCTTTTCCTAAGAAGTAGTAAATGTGTATGTGAAAAATATATATATAGTAAACTACATTTTTTTAGCTTAATAATATATCCAAGTGTTCTCATTTCATTTCTGTATGTAGAAATATTCCTTATTGCTTTTGCCACGGACAGTTATTCCACTATGCGAATGTTTCATGGTTGGTTCAGCTAGTATCTTACTAGTGGGCATTTGGGTTGTTTTCAGTTCTTTGCCATTACATATGGCACATTGATATTTTAAAGTAGCAATTTCAGTTACTCATAGATAAATTGCTTTGCTTTACTCTCCCATCTATCTGGTTTGATTTCAGATCTAGAATTGAATTTTGAGGCTTTGATCCTGTAAAAAGTAATGATTGCTTCTTGATTTCACCACTATTCTAGGCAACAAGATTGACCTGGCTGAAAGAAGAGAGGTCTCGCAGCAGAGAGCTGAAGAATTCTCAGAAGCCCAGGACATGTATTATCTGGAGACTTCAGCTAAGGAATCTGATAATGTGGAGAAACTCTTCCTCGACTTAGCATGCCGACTCATCAGTGAGGCCAGACAGAATACACTGGTGAACAATGTATCCTCACCTTTACCTGGAGAGGGAAAAAGCATCAGCTATTTGACTTGTTGTAATTTCAACTAAAGGCTGAAGCGAGGAAAAGCAAAAGGAATCAGCGGCTGCCTTGATGGGCCACAAGTTGCTGGAGAGATCTGGCAATGACTGTGGCTCCGGTTCTCGGACCTTCTGACTCCTGTGGGCTCCTGAGCTTACAAAGCGTGGCAGGCCAAGGGCCTTGTCCACAGGCCGGCATTAGCAGAACATATAATGGTTTCACCCTTTTGCAGTCTGGAGTTGGAGCAAGGAGAAAATTGCACTAGGCACTCCATGATCTGCAAGCATGTTGCTTTTGTTTTTTTAAAAAGCAAATAAAAGCGCATTCCTGACACAGCCCAGGGGGAAATGTACTGTAGGGATCCCTCCTGCACGTTAGTGGGTGCATGTGGGGCTGTTCTTCAAGGGCTTCAGTGGTAATCTTCTAGTGGCCCTGGTGTTCTTGTCTACCAGATAAACCGAAACTGGGAAGGCAAGCACTATCTCTATGGTACATACTGATGACCCCATGGAGATTCTGAAAAGTGTTATTTCTTTTGTCCATAGGCACTTTCAAAAACTTTGGGATGTAAAAATGAATTGAAACCTTTACCCATGACCAACAGTAACAATCATTGTTTTAATAATAATTTCAAGCTCCATGACTCCTTTTGGTGCTAATGATTCCACTACTTCACAGACCAAACATTTTAGTATAATGTCCTTAAATGTATTACCTAGAATAAAAATAATGGGGGAAGTCCATGAATCAGAACTCTTTCAAAGTCTCATTACTACTTTTCTCAAGTAGATTTGTTGGAAAAGACAGTATGTTTTCTTTCATGTTCCCCTTTAAGTCTCTAGATTTTCTTCTATTCTCTCATCTTTCCTGACCTTTAAGGAAACAAAAGTTTGAAAAATTAAAAAAAAAAAGTTTGTTGATATTCTAAAATAAAAAATTAGTTCTAAGACATTATGAGTGAGAAAACAGACCAGATATGACCAAATACTGTGGATTAATGGACTGCAAAGCAGGGTTTGAAGCAGAGCACAGTCCTTGATAACAGGTCACATCTTTTACTTCCTGGTACTAGCCTTCTTGGATAAACCAAGACTTAGGATTTTATAGATATTTTTAGTATGAAAGTGAGAATTAGCAGCAGATAAAGTCTCACAAACATTTTTGTATCTTCATAACATTATAAAAGTTCTGCTTGTAGAAGCACGTTGAGCATCATGGATGATCTCTTTATAATGGTACTCTTAGACTCATGACCGTACATGCTTTCCTGTTTCTCTTTTTTCCTCTATTTCCTAGTCTCTCCTTTTGGTCCTTCTTTCTTACCCTCCTACCTCCCTCCCATCTTGATTCGCATGCATTACTGCAAATCTCCAATTCAAATGGAGGTATATATATGCCTTTTCTTAGCCAATTTTAAAACAGGATCAAAATGGAAGATGTGCTGCTGAATATGTGTTCATTTCTTCAGTGCCATACTTTGAATTCTTCCAATTTGTTCACTGAAATAAATGAAAATTGAGAAAATAATTAAACCTGTATGCTTTTGATGCTATCAGATGTTTCTGTAGCTTGCTGCTTAGCATAAATGGGAGGTGAGTAATAAAATTTGGATGATATGTGATTCTGCTGTTGCTGTAGATGGTGACAATCTCAGACCTGATATATTGATGTTTGAAAGCTATTTAATGTAATTATAAAGTAATGAGTCATAGTTCATGGAACTGATAAAGCATTTTCAACCCTTCTGTAGCAGATTCCAGAATGACCAATCTTTTGCATAGGGGATTATATATATTGTTTAGGGACTGATACTTCTAATTGGCCTCATTGTGTTTTCCTGGTTGTGTGGGAAAAAGGAAAGAGATCCCAGAAGCTAGAATTGTCTTTCTTTTAGAATCTATCTCTGTAGGAAAGAAAAATCATCTTAATGAAAGCCAAAATAATTTATAAGTATTACTGCTTTCTCTTCGCCATCTTTTCTACTAAGCCAACAGCTAAAGGTATCAGAAAATAATCAAGGGAGCAGAGAAACTTACCTTTTTAAACTGAGGAAATGTCCTAAAGTTTAAATTTATTATTTTTTCAGGGCAAAAATCCAGCGTGTCCACCATAGGATGACCCAAATTTATCTCACATCCACAAATGTGTTAAAAATAAGACCACTTTTGTGAATGTAAGAGGGCTTTGTTAGATTGAATTAATTAGTTGTAAAATAATAGCTTAAAGGACACACTTGCGGTCTGGGATTCTTACTCCCTAACACTTGACTCCCTCTACCTTTGGGCAGACTCACAAAGAGGTTAGAGAGTTCTGTTCTTGGCCCCATTATTTTTTGTTACTCCTTCTAGTCATTCTGTCATTTAGAGTCACTCACCCATGGTCCATCTGAGGGACTCGTAAGAATGTGAAACTTTATTCTTTTTTTTCTTAGTTACATGGATTTCAGAATTAGCGTTATGCACACTGGTCTATTGATGTATCTCAAGTTGATAACAAACCCTGACAAGGTTGTAGGTGCAATGTATATCTGCTAAGTAAATGATCTTGTGTCAAGTGGGGCTTTTTTTTTTTTTTTTGATTAAACAGAAATTCCTTCAAGTAGTATCTGAGGTGACACTAAATGAAGTCATCTTAACCAAGCGCAGGACTTAAACTTATTCGTTCTTGTCAGGGCATTATTTGCTGAAATAAGTCTTTAGATAAAGACAAAGTCTGGTGGATGAAAAAAATGAGTTGCTTTATCATAATTTAGTTGAGCTTGATCTGACAAAAACAGTTATAGCCTGTAACTTTTTCTATTTGGGGTATGATCTTTTCTTGTTTTAAAAAAGTTAATTATATGGCAAAACATGGTTCAGTTTCCAGTGAAAACACATATCTGTGTTATAGAGTAATGCTTTAAAAAATCTATGAAATCATGTAATTTGCTGATATTAATGATAATATGGCTTTGTAGATTGACATTCAAAGGATTTTATGCTTTCTCTTTTGCCTATGCAACCTGTATGATCCTGTATGTTTTTACTAGGTCTGTTGAATTGTATTAACATTTAATTTTTTATTGTATAGAGCCAGTTATCTTTTCTATAGATTGTTTAGGTTAACCATTGGCTTTTCCTGGCCTTTCCTTCTCCCTGTCTACTAGCCATTTTATGTTAACATCTCTTCCTGAGTAAAGTGGTAAGAAAATAACTAAAAATGAGTGGATTTACTAGACAATGTGTCAAATTTGGATTTAGAGTTTGGTAAAATAGAAACCACTGAGCAAAATAAAATCTTTGGATTTGGTTATTTTAAGCAGTTTGGACTTTTTGGAGGAAGGGAGCAGACCCAACAGAGGACCGGATTCTTATTTTTCTTCTTCTGTTGAACATATTTCTTGAAAGGACCCCTATGACTCCATAGTGTAAGGTGGATGATTTACTTTATCTACCTTTTAAACTATCCCATAATCCCTCAGGCCCAACATCAAGTTTTAGTTAATAACTCATTCTGAACAAATAATCAGATGTAAACTCTTTGAACTGTTCTTCTGATTATAATAAAACATCTTTTAATAGACTCAACCAGAATGAGATGTCATAATCATCACATGAGACTAATGACCTTAAAATAGATATTTCTTAATTCTATAGAATTCTGTACTTTATAGTCATAAATACTTAATGAATAACTTCCTCATTAGCATCTGGAAGAGTTCTTTTTTTCGAAAAAATTTTTGGTGATCACCAGGGATCAAACTCACGACCTCGCACTTGGCAGGCAGGCACTTACGCCACTGAGCTAAATCCCCAGTCCGATGGTGGTGTTTAAATGTAGTTGGTTATTTACTTTTTCCAACTATAGTATTCATAAGTGTTTTTTGATGTAACTGTTGTAATACTTATGAGGTTTAACTAGATAGTGAACAGGAATGAACATTTACAATTTATCCTTCTGACAAAATATATTCCATTTAAACAGTATAGTTAAACACCAATTTGGGAATAAAGGAAGATGTATATACTTTTCTTCTTTTTGGATTTCATTTCTGACATGAGCCTATTTGTGTTTGAAAGGAAAGCTGTCTTCCCTTGTATTATACGCACTGGTAATTTCTTTATACTCAATTATTCCTTCAAGCCATTAATCTAGTAATGTTAAGGGAGATGCACATTTCATCTCCTTTCATCTCCTGTGATGTTAGAATGTTATACTCACTCTTGGGGCCATATATTGAAATTAAAAACAAATTGAGGCGTAATAGCCTGGTAAAGGAATTTAAATTTTAAAATATTTGAAAAATGCAGGAAGGATTTTGTGAGACTTAATCTGGAAGAGATGAATATAATAAGTACATTACAGCAAGAGGCTCTGTAGCTCAAAGAAATGGAATGAGGCTTACTGAGTGGAGGACACAGAGCCACAGGTTTAGTTCCCATATCAGGAGGAACCTTCTCAAAATATTAGGGGCTTATGGATAGTATCACCTCAAGTAATAGTCTGTGTCAAGCAGAGAGTAGATAGGAAAGAATTTGGCAGAGAATTAGAGAGGATACAAGTGTTGGCTGAGGATAGGACTGCATGACTTATTACCTTAAAATTACATGTTAAAGGACTTTGTTGCTCATAACATATTCAGTTAAGCATCTGTTGACCAATAGCTACTAATTTTTTAAAAAGGGCTTTGCTTTCTTGCCACATCCTTCAGGGAAGATGTGGATTATTAGGCCAAGAGACTGGTCTGCCATTAAATCATAAGCAGAGATTACTATGCCAGTCCACTCAATGTCTTGAAGAGATCACAAACTATTTCTAGAGCTGTTTTTTTTTCTTGAAGTCATCATAATGATAGAAATTAAATATTAAAATTTATTCACCTCAGTTTAATGAATAATGATGTCTCTTCAGGATAGGTCTTTGTAGCAGAGCAGAATCTTCTATTAAAGATCCCACAAATAAACATGAAGTTTTTACAGCTCCCATGACACAGGCTGGTGGATTATTGACAGAAAGCAGACCTCAAGATCTATTTTAGAAAACTCCTAAGACACTCAATGGGTTTCCCTAATTCTCTTGAGAGTACATTGAAAAGAACTGAGTCTAAATCGTTTCATGTGGAGAGTAATAAAACACAGGTGTAGCATTTGATTTTTTTTCCTCACAGGGCTGGGGAAAAAAACCCAGTTACAGTGCTTGCCTTGTACGTGCTAGACAAGCACTATAACTGAGCTACACTCCCAGACCTTTAAATTAAAAATGAGAATCTAAAGTAATTTTTGCTAATAAAGTCTGTGATCCAGATGATTCCACCTGCAAAATAATTTGCATTCTTGCTTGGCTGATACATGATTTTCATTAGTCTTTTTTTTTTTTTTTTTTTTTTTTTTTTTAAGTCATTGGTCTGAATACTTGAGTTTGGGGAAGATTTGCTCTAACTGTGTTGGAAATAGTCACATTACACAGGCTAACCACTTCCTGAAGTTGTATGAGTCAAAGTTTTACTTTCTTACTAATTTAAAGAATTTCTGGAGGTTCTGTTTTCTAATTCTTGGAATATTCTTTGGTAGCTGGTGACTGACATTTCAGAATGATGCAGGGAAATAGAAGGGCAGACACTAATTTAGGTTGCACAAACTATCTGTGACTTCAGACAAAGCACAATATCTTGAGCATTGGTTTTCTCATCTATGACTTGATAGAATTATGAAATTCAGTTAAATAAATTGAAAGAACAGTGCTCAGTAAACAGTAAGGACGTCAATATCAGTTCTTTTTTCCTTAATTATGAAAAGAGTTTGGAGCTGGATGTGGTGGCATGCACCTGTAATTCCTACTATTTGAGAGGCTGAAATGGGAGGATCACTTTGAGACCAACTTGGCAACACAGCATGATGCCATCTCAAAATGTATACATACATTTTGCACAATCTGGTGCAAATACAGTTACTTGAGGGACAAAAGAAAGACTTTTCTGGCTTCAAAGAAAAGAGCTCCATTTTTGGAAGGGTTCCTTAAAAGGAAGTCATTTAGGGCTGGGGATTTAGCTCAGTGGTTTAAGCGCCTGGCTGGCAAGCACAAGGTTGTGAGTTTATTCCCTGATACCATTAAAGAAGAAAAAAAAAAGGAAGTCATTTACTCTGCTTTGGGGCATTACTGCCATTCTCCCATTTCTTTAGATACTTCTGGATTTTGTTTCTGTCTCTGTCTCTCCCCACCCACTTTCTCGGCAATTCCAGGGTTGTAAACTCCTTATTATCAGGAAACTCAATCAGAGAACTGAAATACCTCACAGTACAATTTAAACCTCTTCTTGATCCCATTCTCCATGGGAAGAAAAATTGAGTTGATTTCTACTTTTTTCAGGAGCCACATTTGCCACTTATTAATTGCTATTTTGCCTAATTTTTAAAAACTAATAGGAAAAGCTCATTAAATTCATAATCATTCTCTTGGTAAATATTAGGACAGGTAGAACTTATTAACTCTTACCTTCTTTCTACTACCTGATTTACATCATAATCTTATTGTTAAGCAACTCTGCAATTATGCAAGTATTTTTCTTCCTTAGTTATACAATTGGTAATGATGGATGCTCCTGAAGAATGATTCTGATTGCGTGGCTCTTGTTTCCATCCTTTGGTAAAAATGGAGTCATGAATCTCACTTATATGATAGGTTCTAGAATTTAATTATCTATGTGGTGTTATTTGATGAATGTAGTTACCAACATCAAAAGAGTTTCCTCCCTGCCTTTCCCCTCTGTATTACCTTCTGAAGTAAAAATTGGAGTACTGAATGCCTAATAAAGCAGAATTTCATGTACCAAACAACAAAAGAGTATGATTGGAGTAACTTACTGGCTGACTGAACAGTACACACTTTTTGTTTAAATTTACACTGTAATGCCTGGATTAAGTAACAATAAACTTGACAAGCCCTCTGAAAAACAGCTGCTAACATACTGCTTTCTGGAATGTAATAGGAATAAATATTCTCTTTTCTACTTAGTTACAGAATACTAATGGAAATTTCTTGTAGACTATTTGACAATGAATGTCAGTAGGTTTACTATAAAAATTTTTAGTTACAAATTCTCTCATTTCTTTAAGACTTGTTGGGGCTCTCTTGTCTTTGTTATAGAAAAATTCAAATGACTGGAATGCTGGCTTTGAATTTCTATGCACTGAAACGTCCTCTAGACTTATCAGATGGTTGGAGCTCCTTTGATGGTTGGTGTACAAGAAGCTACATAAATGCATTTGAACTAGTGCATGAGTAAAATTGCTATTGTCAGCAAAAATTTTTAAAAAAAATGCTCCACAGCCCAGCTAATAAAGAGAGAGTTTTGATAATTTAAAGGGGAAAAAAGTGTGCTCCATATATATTCTTGCACACACTTTAATGCATGATTTTTAGTATAGGGATGAAATAAAATGCAAAAAAAATTCTGGAGATCTCAGCAGCTAGTTAAAATATTTTCAGAAGCTGCTTTATGAGGATTTAGAGAATCCTTAATTTCCCCCTTTCTTGTCTGTATTAAAATATGGATCTTTAACATACAGTTTTAAAAAACAGGTTAATCATTGAGTTTTATAAACTCAATTCTTAATCTTTGGCTATTGGTTTTATGCATAGGATCTCAGTAAAATCTGGTATCAGTATATAAAAGCTAAGTATCAGCTTCAGTATAAGCATAGTACTTGATTTTAAATGTTAATATGCAAATATTAACAGTACAATGTATATTCTATGTATCCATGTATTACTTTCCTTTTATGTAATAAAAAGCTTATTAGATGTATAAGCCATTGATTACTTGAGTGCAATTAGCTGAAAACATTCTGTAGAAAGTGATTTATGAAAATTTCAACTAATATTTAAAAAGGGGAATAGAAAGGGAATAGGAAGCTGAACAAAATTTTTAAAAATAAAGCTGTATCTATCTTTTTAGAAATTAAGATATAATTCACACATTATACACTCACTCTTTTAAAGTGTAAAATTCAATGTTTTGAGTATATTCACTGTCTTGTGCAATTCTAACTTCAGAATGTTTCATCATCTCTCCAAAAACTGTCCATTAAGTGAATCTGGCACCAAGTAATCTGCTTTCTGTCTCTGTGAATTTGCCTATCCTGGACATTTCATAAAGATACAGTCCTATAATCTGTGGTCTTTAGTGTCTGGTTTCTCTTAACATAATGTTTTCAAAGTTTATCTTTGTTGTATGAATCAATACATTATTATGGCTAAGTAATATTCCAGTGTACATGTAGAGTATATTTTATTTTTCCATCAATTGATGAACATTTGAGTTGTTTCCCCTTCTTGGATATTATAAATAATGCTGCTATAAAGATGTATGTAATGTTTTATGTGTGGGCATATATTTTCACATCTCTCTTAAAAGCAATTAGCTTAAAAATTAAGTTATTTGTATTAAATAGAAGCTCTTAATGCTCTATTTGGAAAATGGAACTTATGATCTTAGTTCAATTAATCAATTAGGAAACCCCCTTCAATATATCAGTGAGAATTTTTCTATGAGCTTGTCATTAGGTATGATTAATTTCAGGAAGACTGTGCAGAAACTGTGTTGTCATAGAATTTCTAGTCTTCTGCACTGCTTTTGAAGGATAGCTACGAACAATGCTGGAGAAGAAAACCCATTCAGTCTTTCAGGGTTCATGAAGGAGCATTTTTAAGGTACAATTTCTATTACATATTGACCATCTTTTAAAGTTTGGGTGTACCTTCTTGGAAAAAAAGATTGTTAAATTGCCAAACCATCTGATTGTTCATTGTAGTTTAAGCTTTTATTATTAAGAAATAATTCATAATGAGAGTAAAAGTACAAAGAATGTATTTTGTCTGCAGAGTATGAATGTATTTAACAAAATTTTTATTTGTAACAATTTTTTTTTTTAAAAACCTGAATGGAAATTGCTTTCCCATGTACTTGTATATAAATAAACATTTCCTGTTGCCCATGTTTGGAGGCTGATATATCAATATATACAAAGCAAATTAGTTTTAAGCACACCTATATACTTCAGCATCACATGGAATATGCCCTCAATCTGGGATCTGGATACCAGAACTTGAATGTTGACTCTGTAACTGGCTAACAAGTCATTTGACATAGCACCACATTCTTCTCCTCTGCACAATAAGTGGCTAAATTAGATTACCTTTCAGTTCTCTTCCAGTTATAACCTAATCAGTTATATTCAGGATGTAAAAATTATATGCTAATTATTTACAGTGATGAAAAAGATGTTTTATTGTATAATAGAAGGACTGTTACACTAGGAAGAAGTAGTTAAAAATTGTAGTACTACTCCTGACATTACTCCCAATCAGTAGGACATTAGGGCAATAATTTCATTTCAAGCTCTAATTTTTCTAACTTCAGAATAGAGGCTCTATTTAGAGGCTTTTAAGTTTATATTCTTTAGAAATATCATCTTAAGCTGATCAGACCTAAGGCTAGTAAAACCTTACTTCAAAAACAGAAAATAAAAACTGGGTGCTACAATTTCTGAGCTGGGCAAGTTAGCAAGACTTGGTCACAAAATAAAAAAAAAATTTAAAAAGGACTGGGGATATGGGTCAGTGGGAAGGCTATGGTTTCAATCCCCAGTACCCCACCACCACCAAAAACGGTAGAAGGATATGGGGGAAGAAGTAACTTGGCACTCATGTTCTTGCCTAGCATGTGTGAAGCCCTACCACTGAAAAGAAAGAATGAAAAATAGCAGTAAACATATTATCTTTGACAACTGGGGATAAGACTAACTATTCATCACTAGTAAGTCATTCATTTATTCACCATTTATTGTGCATATAACATTAAACAAATAAAGGGATTTGGCTCTTAGATGCCCTTACTTCAAGAGCCATGGATTTGTACTTTTGAAGTTCATCTCTGTTCCAGTCCTTGCCTCTTATCTTGTGCCTGGGGACATTCATTTGAGAGAGGAATATCTTAGACTAAGGGTACAGTAGGTAGATTAATGTATAGAACACGTGGCACTTACCTGATCCCCTCCAAAGAAAAATCAAAGCAAAATGTCTATTGCTGCATTTAGAGGTGAGTGATTACTGGAGGGCACAGGAAATCACAAGGAGAGAAACTGGGATATTACAAGATCCAGAGACCTGGGATAATAGTACAGTAAGAGAAACAAAATAATCTTGGCACCTGCCACCCTGGCTTCACATAGGAGGAGGAAAGTCTCTTTTCTGCAGAGTAAGGGTGAAAGAGTCCCAGAAAACTGTAAGCATGGATGCTAGCAGTCCTAGTTATTGGAGTTTCACAGTCCTCACAGGCTAGCAGCTTAATTGTGCAATTAGCCCACAGTCCGCACTTTAACTTGCTTTGGGAAAAGGATTTTACATCATCCCCCAGTTAATCTCCAGGGTGCTACAGTCAACAGCCATCTTAGAAGGGAAAAATTGTCTGAATTTAGGCTATTGTAGAAACAAGAAACTCCTACATATATTGTATCTGGGACACCCTCCCCCGCCCCCAGTATGCATTTCACTGCTCTGGCTCAGTGAGTATGTGCCCTGTGAACCAAACATAGCCTAACAGAGTGACTGATAAAACTCACCGATCACCAGCACTTGAGAGATGGTGTTGTGTCACTAAAAGAAACTAAGGATAGAGGTACTTCCACAGCAGAAGTAGATAGGAACACCACAATTCTACCACATCTGTGCGGTTTTCACCATAGGCTGCCCCTGCATCTTATCTGACTATGCACTGTTGGCAGGACTCTGTGTGAGAAGCACAGCAGGACTGCTGTGGTTCTTGCCACTGTCCCTCCTCATGGTGGACCAGGACCCATATCATTATTTCACTGGAGGAAAAATGCCACAGGACCCTCACCACTACTTGTGCAAACTGTCAGAGTCCCTTACAAGTAAGAGAGGCAACATGAACAATGGTTAAGGAAACCCTTTTCATCTGAAAGGGACCACCACTTCCCTTGCAGGAGTAGCCACGGATGTACCTCCGAACACTGCTGTCCATGCCATACCTGCTTAAACTGCTGTAATTCAACTTTTACATGACCTACAAAGACAATGTATCTCTCCAACTGACAGTACACACTGGGCTGACACTCACTGATCACAGTAAAGGAACCATTCTAGGACATTACACTACAGTGCCCAGCTGGAAATAAAATTAATATTGTGTGACAAACATACCCAAAGGCACATCATGAGAAAACTACTTATGAAGAAGGCCATCCCAAAAAAGTATTAAAGATATCTGAGCATGGGGCTGGGGATTTAGCTCAACGGCATAAGCACCTGCCTTGCAAGCAGGTGATCATGAGTTCAATCCCCAGTACCGATAAAAAAAAAAAAAGAAAGAAAGATATCTGAGCATGACACCACCAAAAGATCATTCTCTAGTAACAGATTTTAAAAACTGAGATGGCTAAAATGTCTGACAAGGACTTCAAAAGTGTGATTTTAAGATAGTGAAATGAAATTTAAAACAATACTATAAATAGTTAAGTTAGGAAAATAGGATATGAATGAGAAATTCAGCAAGGGATTGAGATTTTGAAAAATAAACAGAAATCTTGGAAATAAAGAGCTCAGTGTCAAACACACATCAACTGAAAACCTCAACCACAGTCTAGATCAAGAAATGATATCTGCGCTTGAAGACAGGTTGTTTAAATATCTTATTCAGACCAAAAAATGAACTCATTCAAGATCTCTGGGATTTCATTAAGCAAATAAATAGTCAATCACTAGAGTATTCAAAGGTGAGAAAATAAAAGTTAAGGGTACAGAGACTCCGTTTAAGGAATACTAGCAGAAAACTTTCCTAATCTTGGGAATGATATAGACACCTATATACAAGAAGCATATAGAACTTCAAATAGATGTGATCTGAAAAGATCTTACCGTAACCAAACTGTCAAAAGTACTGGTTAAAGAAAGAACTTTAAAATCTGCAGAAGAGAAATGCTAAGTCACATTTAAGGGCAACCCCATTAACATTTTTCTGAGCAGAAACCTATAGGCCAGGAGGGAATGTAATAACACATCATAAAATCCTGAAGAAAAGTAACTGCCAACTAAAATTACTATACCCAGCAAAAATAGATTTCAGAAGTGAAGGATAAATAAGGACTTTCCAGGACAGCAAGCCTTTCCTCATCAGTGCCATTCACGGACTGCAGGGGGAGAGAACAAGGCCTCAGCAAGAGGCAAGCCAGCGCCGCATGCAGGCCACTGCTGGCAGGGGAAAAGCCAGACCCTAGCCTCTTCTGGCACATGGGCTGGCAAATAAGAAGAGCCAACCCCACTCCCCACCTCCACAAGTGACTAGCTGAACCAGAGAAACACAGGTTGTGATGATAGCTATTGAAGTGAAATGCAATTTGACGCTTGTGGTGTTTTGTTGTTTCACTGACCATGCGGGTGTCAGGTCAGTGGTTTGGTCATCTATCATCCAAAGGATGGTGGGTTGCAGTGTGGCATCTATGGGGGATCTCCTTCTGAGGGTTGTGGCCATTGTTAATCCCTTATTGTCCTGTTTTGAAGTCCTGTATCATTTTCATTGTTTTTTGGGTTGATGTTTGTTTGATTTTGTTATATTTGATGGCATGAGCAGCTATTTCAAAGACAGCAAGATATATTATGGTAGTCAATTTGGATTTACCATTGTCTTGTTTTGAAGTCTTTTACTGCATTCATTGTTTTGTTTTTGTTGGAAACGTCCTGTTATGTTTGGTTTTCACTATGTCTGAGGGTATCTGCAGCTATTTTGAGGACAGAAGAGGCATTATGGTAATCATTGATGATTTCATATTGTTTTAAAGTCCTGTGTCACTTACACTGGTTTGTTTTGTTTTGGTACCAGGGTTTGAACTCATGACCTAGTCCTTGCTAGGCAGGTACTTATGCCACTGAGCTAAATCCCCAGCTCACTGGTTTGTTTTGATTGGTTTTATTATTTTATTTTCCTTGGTTTTATCCCCTTAAAAAAAGACTTTCCAGGAAAAAAACAAAACAAAAAAGCTGTGAGGAAACTCACTACTGACTAGGTTTATGAAAGATGTTTAAGGGAGTCATACATCCAGATGTGAAAGAAAGCTATTACCATCATGATAGCACATTTAAATGCTAAAACAGCAACTACATGAAGAAAAATAGGCCCTCAGCCTGGAACGTCTGGGACACCCCCGGCACAACTGGAGACTAGGACATCTCGGACCACTGCTGTGGGCCTGCCCCTCAGCCCAGTATGCCTGGGACACCCCTGACCTCTGCTGCGGGCCTGCCCCTCAGCCTGGAATGCCTGAGATGCCCCAGACCTCTGCCGTGGGCCCACCCCTTGGGGAGTCCCCCCACCTCATGGACCTAGTACTTCAGTTGATCTTTGGCTCTAACCCCTTCTCCCAGAACCTTGCATAGTGTATTACCATGCTGGCTAGATGGGAGACTCAGAAACCCCTCACCCAAACAGAAGACCTCTGCAGGCTCCAGTCAGTGTGGTGAGTTTGCTCCTAAAATAGAGGTCTGTAGTGGGTAAATAGGAGCAGAAGCAAAACTCCCTCCAACTGTAAGACCTTGGCAAACCTGGCAAGAGAGTGAGTAATCTCCCTTCTCCACACAGAGAATATCAGACAGGTTGAGGAGTGTACCAATAAGGCCTCCCCCAACTTGAAGAAAATTAAAAAAGCTTATGAGACCCCCAGTGATACAGTAAGGCATCTGCTGACACAAACACTATCGACCTGCAACAACCTGAAGACATAGCAACAACAGGAACTAAGAGTTGACCTACATCAATACTTGTAGGCTAGTTAGCCAGAAAGAATATAGGATTCACCCAACAGGCCCTGCAGGAGGAATTCAGGTGACTGTATCTCCTCTTCATTGTGGTATCCAGAGATTGGACAAATACCAAGCACACAGTAGGACCCTAAAATTCACACTATAGATAATTGAGACTGTT